ATAGGAGAGAAAGGACGGTGAAATCGGTGGCTGAAAGTCATCGGTTTCTGATAGCCATTGGTTTCGATTTGCGAATCCAATTAAATACAACTCACTTTTCGGTTTTCCATCCCGACCGCAAGTCCGCCTCATCATCAGAAACCTAAGTCAATTCAACAGTACAAAATCTAAGACTTTGTGGCACACATCAGAGAGAAAGGGAACGCGACAATGGCCAATGATTGGTTAATTAAATGTGTAATCAGCGGGGAAGAGACGTAAAGGTATGGACAGCAAGCGGCGATATGACAGCACAGAAGATAAGAGATAACACACAATTTATACCTCACTTTTGATGCTACTATTTCAGCCACAAGCATCATCTACTGAGCGCTCACGTCAACCTTCGCATTCGAAATTGGTGTGGTCGGGTGCTGTGCGGTCGGGTACTGTGTGTCGCGTGATGTGTCGTGGTTGATGTGTTGTTGTGTGTATGTTTGTTTGTGTTGGTCCTTTCTATGTCGTCGTCAGTGTGCCCGAGCGGTCTAAGGGGGTAGACTCAAGTTCTACTGTGTTCGCACTCGTGGGTTCAAATCCCACCGCTGACACGTAGGCCATGACCACTGGACGTTACCTGCTGCTCAGCAAGAACGAAACGGCAGCATGTGAGACACTGGCCAGCACCAAGCGAGGCAGTAAGTACGACAAGTGCTGAATTCTATTGGACGACTTCGGCGTCCTGTGCGCGTATGCAGAAGTCGAATCGTCAATCCTCTGTCAAGTGCCACTGATACTTATGCTCGACTCGCTTATATCCATTGGGGTGCTACGACTCCGCTCTTCATGTGGTCTTTCAGCTATAACAGATTCAAACATAAACCGATCGGACCGATCGTGACAAAGTGTAATCCCGAACGTTATTCCACTGTCTTGTAAGGGCTCGTCGAAAGCTTTCAATTGCGGCTGCAACTCCAAAAGGGATGCTGCGCTCACTTTGTGACATCGTTGAACTACCTAGTTGACAGTATCGCTCAGAAAAATGAGCCTGTCCCATTATCACGAGACGATTGTATGAAGAGTGGTCACAGCTCTTAGGCGTCAATAATCTCATTAAGAATAGTTGGCTTGGAATATGATGACCCTGGCTTTGACAACAGACCCTTAGAGTCAAGCAACACAGTATTCAACCTCAGACCAGCGGTCCCCAGTTCCATGTATTCACCCTTTACTAGTGCCACCCGTGACGGCGGCCGGGATGAAACAAAGCGTTACCCAGCTCAAGCGCAGCACATTTATACTCTCCTGGTGATGGTCATGTTGGAGATTGATGGTGCAGCTATGTGTGGACAATGTACATTGCGTATATAGGCTTGAATTGATGCACATATATATGTGCTAGCACGACAGGGTACGGGTACGAATTGGTCAGATGTTTGGAAAGGGATTCCAAGCATCTGAGTGCGGGTTCGATTTCCGCCGTGGAGAAGTCAATTGCAAATGACCCCCGCAATCAGGTGTTTGGGGTTCACCAGAACCTTGACCTCCCCGAGGTGATGTCCCCCACACCACGCAAGAACCTATCATTGGGCATAGGCTTGTGTGGAGTGTTTACCGCAGGTATGTTGCGAGTCGTGATTGCCCAAGATAGGAAATGTCACATAGGAGAGAAAGGACGGTGAAATCGGTGGCTGAAAGTCATCGGTTTCTGATAGCCATTGGTTTCGATTTGCGAATCCAATTAAATACAACTCACTTTTCGGTTTTCCATCCCGACCGCAAGTCCGCCTCATCATCAGAAACCTAAGTCAATTCAACAGTACAAAATCTAAGACTTTGTGGCACACATCAGAGAGAAAGGGAACGCGACAATGGCCAATGATTGGTTAATTAAATGTGTAATCAGCGGGGAAGAGACGTAAAGGTATGGACAGCAAGCGGCGATATGACAGCACAGAAGATAAGAGATAACACACAATTTATACCTCACTTTTGATGCTACTATTTCAGCCACAAGCATCATCTACTGAGCGCTCACGTCAACCTTCGCATTCGAAATTGGTGTGGTCGGGTGCTGTGCGGTCGGGTACTGTGTGTCGCGTGATGTGTCGTGGTTGATGTGTTGTTGTGTGTATGTTTGTTTGTGTTGGTCCTTTCTATGTCGTCGTCAGTGTGCCCGAGCGGTCTAAGGGGGTAGACTCAAGTTCTACTGTGTTCGCACTCGTGGGTTCTAATCCCACTGCTGACACGTAGGCCATGACCACTGGACGTTACCTGCTGCTCAGCAAGAACGAAACGGCAGCATGTGAGACACTGGCCAGCACCAAGCGAGGCAGTAAGTACGACAAGTGCTGAATTCTATTGGACGACTTCGGCGTCCTGTGCGCGTATGCAGAAGTCGAATCGTCAATCCTCTGTCAAGTGCCACTTATACTTATGCTCGACTCGCTTATATCCATTGGGGTGCTACGACTCCGCTCTTCATATGGTCTTTCAGCTATAACAGATTCAAACATAAACCGATCTGACCGATCGTGACAAAGTGTAATCCCGAACGTTATTCCACTGTCTTGTAAGGGCTCGTCGAAAGCTTTCAATTGCGGCTGCAACTCCAAAAGGGATGCTGCGCTCACTTTGTGACATCGTTGAACTACCTAGTTGACAGTATCGCTCAGAAAAATGAGCCTGTCCCATTATCACGAGACGATTGTATGAAGAGTGGTCACAGCTCTTAGGCGTCAATAATCTCATTAAGAATAGTTGGCTTGGAATATGATGACCCTGGCTTTGACAACAGACCCTTAGAGTCAAGCAACACAGTATTCAACCTCAGACCAGCGGTCCCCAGTTCCATGTATTCACCCTTTACTAGTGCCACCCGTGACGGCGGCCGGGATGAAACAAAGCGTTACCCAGCTCAAGCGCAGCACATTTATACTCTCCTGGTGATGGTCATGTTGGAGATTGATGGTGCAGCTATGTGTGGACAATGTACATTGCGTATATAGGCTTGAATTGATGCACATATATATGTGCTAGCACGACAGGGTACGGGTACGAATTGGTCAGATGTTTGGAAAGGGATTCCAAGCATCTGAGTGCGGGTTCGATTTCCGCCGTGGAGAAGTCAATTGCAAATGACCCCCGCAATCAGGTGTTTGGGGTTCACCAGAACCTTGACCTCCCCGAGGTGATGTCCCCCACACCACGCAAGAACCTATCATTGGGCATAGGCTTGTGTGGAGTGTTTACCGCAGGTATGTTGCGAGTCGTGATTGCCCAAGATAGGAAATGTCACATAGGAGAGAAAGGACGGTAAAATCGGTGGCTGAAAGTCATCGGTTTCTGATAGCCATTGGTTTCGATTTGCGAATCCAATTAAATACAACTCACTTTTCAGTTTTCCATCCCGACCGCAAGTCCGCCTCATCATCAGAAACCTAAGTCAATGCAACAGTACAAAATCTAAGACTTTGTGGCACACATCAGAGAGAAAGGGAACGCGACAATGGCCAATGATTGGTTAATTAAATGTGTAATCAGCGGGGAAGAGACGTAAAGGTATGGACAGCAAGCGGCGATATGACAGCACAGAAGATAAGAGATAACACACAATTCATAACTCACTTTTGATGCTACTATTTCAGCCACAAGCATCATCTACTGAGCGCTCACGTCAACCTTCGCATTCGAAATTGGTGTGGTCGGGTGCTGTGCGGTCGGGTACTGTGTGTCGCGTGATGTGTCGTGGTTGATGTGTTGTTGTGTGTATGTTTGTTTGTGTTGGTCCTTTCTATGTCGTCGTCAGTGTGCCCGAGTGGTCTAAGGGGGTAGACTCAAGTTCTACTGTGTTCGCACTCGTGGGTTCAAATCCCACTGCTGACACGTAGGCCATGACCACTGGACGTTACCTGCTGCTCAGCAAGAACGAAACGGCAGCATGTGAGACACTGGCCAGCACCAAGCGAGGCAGTAAGTACGACAAGTGCTGAATTCTATTGGACGACTTCGGCGTCCTGTGCGCGTATGCAGAAGTCGAATCGTCAATCCTCTGTCAAGTGCCACTTATACTTATGCTCGACTCGCTTATATCCATTGGGGTGCTACGACTCCGCTCTTCATATGGTCTTTCAGCTATAACAGATTCAAACATAAACCGATCGGACCGATCGTGACAAAGTGTAATCCCGAACGTTATTCCACTGTCTTGTAAGGGCTCGTCGAAAGCTTTCAATTGCGGCTGCAACTCCAAAAGGGATGCTGCGCTCACTTTGTGACATCGTTGAACTACCTAGTTGACAGTATCGCTCAGAAAAATGAGCCTGTCCCATTATCACGAGACGATTGTATGAAGAGTGGTCACAGCTCTTAGGCGTCAATAATCTCATTAAGAATAGTTGGCTTGGAATATGATGACCCTGGCTTTGACAACAGACCCTTAGAGTCAAGCAACACAGTATTCAACCTCAGACCAGCGGTCCCCAGTTCCATGTATTCACCCTTTACTAGTGCCACCCGTGACGGCGGCCGGGATGAAACAAAGCGTTACCCAGCTCAAGCGCAGCACATTTATACTCTCCTGGTGATGGTCATGTTGGAGATTGATGGTGCAGCTATGTGTGGACAATGTACATTGCGTATATAGGCTTGAATTGATGCACATATATATGTGCTAGCACGACAGGGTACGGGTACGAATTGGTCAGATGTTTGGAAAGGGATTCCAAGCATCTGAGTGCGGGTTCGATTTCCGCCGTGGAGAAGTCAATTGCAAATGACCCCCGCAATCAGGTGTTTGGGGTTCACCAGAACCTTGACCTCCCCGAGGTGATGTCCCCCACACCACGCAAGAACCTATCATTGGGCATAGGCTTCTGTGGAATGTTTACCGCACGTATGTTGCGAGTCGTGATTGCCCAAGATAGGAAATGTCACATAGGAGAGAAAGGACGGTGAAATCGGTGGCTGAAAGTCATCGGTTTCTGATAGCCATTGGTTTCGATTTGCGATCCAATTAATACAACTCACTTTTCGGTTTTCCATCCCGACCGCAAGTCCGCCCCATCATCAAAATTGGAAGTGAGTATACGCACCATATGGCCACTGTTTCGGGCAGGTTCGCTTTCTTCGCGGGAGATTCGGATGCAGAGGGCATGACGAATTCCTGGAACAAGTCACGGAAGATTAGACCGTCGTCCAAATCTAGCCGCGGTTGTAGTTGACGTACCTTTCGCCTTCAGAATGAGCAGGTGCCACTCGTGATCGGACATCATGCTATTCATTTTCATCGTCATGTCCATCAACTGATGCATCAGAAAAAAACAACACGTAAGTATGGTACAAGCATACAACGCGACGCATTCTGAACACGCACCATTTTAGTGGGCTGGATCCTTGACAAAATCATGGACCGCAGACAGTCAAGTTCGTGACTCGAGATAACACCACTGCGGTAAATCTCGCTTGCCTTCGACAGCAGTCCGAACACAAGATGAGGCTCGCGGTGACGAATGCGTTCTTCGGCTTCAAACAAATTCAGCTTGCTCTTCTTGATCACATCAATGTGCGCTGTATTAAAGATACTAGGACGCTTGTTACGCAGCTCCACGGGGAGAAACTTCTGGTTCATAGCGTCTGCCACAATTTTCTGGTTGGCGCGCATGGTTGCATCATCAAACACAGGAGCGATTACCCCGTCCGTCGATGCCCTGTCGTCGTCAAACTCTTTTCCATACAGTGTACCATCGTCTTCGGCTAACGTGCTACTAGATCTATCCGACCGACTGTCTTTCAGCGTCAGACGCCTCCAAACCCCCCTTGTCCTCTAGTTCGCCCTCTTCCTCCTTCTCACTTTCCCCGCACTCTTCATCCTCCTCTTCTGCGATTCCTTCCTCCGATGGCACATCTACAACTGTCTCATCATCGTCTGGCAACTACACTCAAACAAATCTCGTCAAGATGTCACATTTCACAAGCACCACCTCCCACAAACTCACCTTTAGAAAGTCGTCCGGCAGTGGGTGCTTCACAGGCCATCGATTGTTCTCACACGCATTTTTCGCCCCTTTTAACTTGGCTGCTCGCACCGCCGCATGTTCTGCTTGCTCCATATTCAGCACTGCTGCAATAGTGTCCTCCATTATAAACCGATTGGCCTCCAGCACCACTTGCAGCGTCTCCGACTCCCACTTAGGAAAGATAGTGTGCAAAATCTCAACACCACGAGCCAAAGCCGCTGAATCTGGCGTCGGTGCGGGTGCGCGGCGGTTCGGACTGGACGACGGCGGTCCATTGGCGCTCTTCTTCTTGGAAAAAATGGCTTCCAGTAGACTCTTTTTGCCATCGTCGCTGACTTTCTTGATCTGCTTTGCAAGACCGCTGCGTTCACGACGACAGTGAGTTTGTAACGGTGTGCGGCTGCCCATGAAGCCTCCTGTGTGAGGAGGAGTGATCGCCCCCCGCCGACCTGCCGAAGACGTCGGCTGTAGGTGAGACATCCAAAATCGGACAATACCGGTATGACACAGCTCACTTCGACTCGCAGCCTCGATCGCCAGGTATGCGCTTGTACAGGTTTGTCACCAAATTGCCCCAAAATTACAAACCGACCATCACTCTTTGTTTTCCGCAATGTTCCTGCCGTGGATCTCCAAGTGCGACCTCGTGCCGACGTCTGCCGACTCGTATGTGCTCAAGGTGTGTACCTATCTCTCTATCTTTACTCTCTAAGCATCATTGATGTACCTACTCATGTCCACCACCTGTTGTCTGTACGTCGCGTGTTGTCTCTTTTTTCTTTCATTCAGAAATTCTCGGAAAAATGCCAGCGCGGAATGTGCTCCATGGTCGTGAGCTCCCTCACGGAGGAGGGCGTGGACGTGATGGCAGTTCTTCCCAGTGTCCACCATATCCGATGGGCCATGGAGGTCCTGGGCCACTCATTCGCGCTGCCTATGGACGACTCGGACGTCATTTCTGGCTCTCTGGGCGTCTACCAGCGCTGGCTCGGGGTAGACGAAGAGGCGAAAGGCGGAAAAGACCAGAGGCCTGCTTGTATGCAAAAGGTGGAGCAGACGTTCATTCAGGACGTGCTGGGACAAATGACACTGCTCTTTGAAGAGCGCTCGAGCAACGGTATCCCGAGCGGAATGGCAGAAAGCAACTTGGCTACACACGTGGAGCTGTGCACGAAGTAGGAGTTTGTCTCTCTTTATCCATGCTACGTTAATTGCTATGTTGACATTCTGGTTGCTATGCATAGAGTACTGGAGACTTTCGATGCTCTCGTGAAGCACCGAGGGACACAGCTGTCCACGTCGACGTGGGATCGGCTGATCCGACTAGTTCTTGGGGCAGCGGACGGGCTACTGCATAATCTGCGCAATCAATTGGGCAACCACTTATGTGGCCAGCTCGTGCGACTTTTGTACGAAGTGTACCTGCGGTCACTGCCGCAATGTGGACCACGAGGAGAACTGTGGGGTCTGCTGCAAAAGTTCTGTCGACGATGGATTCATCGGACGCTCGTGATTGAGCAATGGAATGCGGTCACGCTTAAACTTACACAGAGGATGATGCGGCAGATTCGCGACCAGAACGCAACTAAAGAGATTGAAATCAATTGGGCAGACAATCGACAGCCTTTCAAGTTTGAGTTAGAAAGCCCCATGCTTGCCTATGCGTGGTACCGTCTTCTCCGTGTGATCGGTCACCCTTCTGCGATTTTTGACCCGGACGTGTACCTTGCTGCTGTGAAAGGGGTGAGTCGACTTTCTGACGAGTTTGCGAGCATCGAAAAGGTGCCTCGCGTTCAGTGGGAGCACGTGTTGGGTGCACTGAACCAAGCGCCGAACCGCGACAGCCCAATGTTCCAAGGAGTGCAGAACGATGATGCCGATCCGACGAACGACCTGTCCACAACAGCTACTCCGAAAACCGTGGAGCAACCGCGAGCCCCGCCTGATGTTAACACGATCCTGCGGCTGCTCGGACCCTGGCTGTTCGATGCCTGCTTGACTCGCAAGCCACACTTTGCCGCTGGTCGTAGCGAGGCTCTTCGATGTCTCGGGAAGCTCTTGTGCCGTTACTCCACTGGCCGCTCCAAGCGTGTGAATTGGGCATTTAGCGTCCGCAGTTTGATGGCTTTACAAAACGCGCTACTTGACGATGATGAGCGGATTGCAGCTTCTGCGGTATACAACTGGTCATAGATATTTAGTTTGTACGGAAACCACACGCTACGTGGTGCCGGTGTTGTTGCAGGTCCATTTCATCAGGCTATTGAGCGCGTATTCCGGTACGAAAGAGAAGCGCGTCGTCATTTTGTACGCCATGCTGACGATGCCGATTGTGTTTATGCAGTACTGCGGAACGTAAGAACATGCCGTCTTCCTCGTCTACAAAACCCGACGGCCGTCGTGGCGGTGACTCGTTCTTTATTTTGGACGATCAGCACGTTGGAGGAATTCCGATTGTGCTGCTCCGCCGAGCGAGCATTAAGGCATGCAGCTCCCTCCTTACCATACATACCCATGTTCCAGTACGTCTAGCTACGAATGTGTTATTGGTGTATCCTGGTGGACTAACATGTCTTACTATACCGTGACTTCGTTACAGATTGCGATGATAAAAGAAGCTGAGCAAGAGATCGTCGCACCTTCGATGGCCGATATTCCAGGACTGTATTCAAGCTTGCCTAAGTACACTAGCTCGAACGTTGTTGCCCTCCTGATGACTGCGATCAAGACCGAGACAGACCCCACAAACCAACAGATGATGATGTGGATCATGACAGTAGCCATTCAGCAGGAGGCTGTCTTTTGGACGAACGGCTTGGCATCTAGCCGCAACTCACAAGTTCCGTTCACAATCTTGTTGATTTGCTCTATCATCAGCAAGTCGCAAAAGTACAAGCCACCAGTGCTGTTTACTGCGTTTGACTGCCTTCGCCATTTGTCACTGGTTTGTGAGGAAGTTTTCTTCCATCATGCAAACTCGGTTGTCCACCTAGTGAATGCGTGCTGTGACTTCATTAGCAACAATGCGCCGGTCCTGCGCTCGAGGGCGGCACCGTTCTATCTGGACAGTCTCATGGCAGCAGCATACCACTGCATAATCGAATGGATTGTAGCAGTGCCTTTGCTGCTAAGCAAGCAACAAGTTATTGCGAAGATTATCACAACTATTGTAGATGGTAACGAGCGATTCCAATCGTTGTCTCCCAACACCACAAACATGGCGGTGCGGGAGGCTGCTCAGAAACTGGTGAACATGCTGATGAAACATCACTGCTCACACACGAGTATTGTCGGTTCCATCGGTACGCACTACTCGGGTTTGACGGAAAAGGTGAGGCATTCTTCTAAGCGTGGTGTAGTCTCTATTTTTATTCTAACGCGTGTTTGCTTCAGTCTGTGCTAGCACAGTTGTGTGATCTGAAAGACGGGTCCGACATCCACCGTCATTGCCGCTTCTTCTCCGTGAACAAAAATTCCGTCTTGACGGTGATCGAGAAATCTGCAAATGCGGTAGAATCAGGCGAAGCAATTTTAATTATGCGAGACTCTACCGGTCGTTATGTCTGGCGGTCCAAGCCCCGGTACCGCGACGGCCCGCGCCTTAAGAACGTAGCTGAGTTTGAGGACTTTCATGAAGACCCCAATACGCGAGCGCTTAGTAACCTTGATTGTGATTCTGAAGCGAATACTCACGAGAATAGTGACGACTACGATACTGAAAGCGACGAGGAAGAGCATGTGGAAGACCCGCTACTTGCCGCAATTCGTGAAACTCACGCAAAGACTCCCATGACAAGCTGGCGCTCATCTTTTGAAGGCGGGGCAGAGACTAGCTCGGCTTTGATGGAAATTTTACCGGGTGAAGGCAACACGGGGATGAGCTCGATTGAGAAGAAAGCTTTAGCTGGTCGTGATGATACCCGAAGTACTCAGGACGCTGTGTTCATGAGTTTGCTCGTGGCGCAGAGCCAGGAGGACAAGCGTGCTTCTAAGCCAAAGGGTTCTGCGCGCGGTGTTAGGTGCTGCAAACCCACACCACCTGAGAAGGACCCTGTACTGCAGACGTGGGAAGTATCACGGAGGATGATGAGTGAGCTGGGTTTTCTTTCGGTACGCAACTGGGGTTCTGTGTTCGCCATGGATGCAACAGTTGCGACTGATTTCCTCCGTGACTTGGAGACGCTGGACAAACTACCGGAGCGCGAAACGTTTGATATTTCTATTGCTTATACGTTTGCTGGAACTTCTCGAGGGGGTTACGACCAAATCCATCTAGCCACCTCGACAGACGTACGAGCTGGTTACGTCGATCTGTCAAAGGACTACCAGCTCTTTCTGTCGTCTCTCGGTGAACAAGTCGACGGCCACTGCCGCAAAGGATACTGTGGCTATGACGCTGATTCTGCAAAGGGCCGAATACTTCATTACGCGCACTACAGTCACGAGGCATGCATCTACGTGCCTACCCTTTTGGTAGAAGGAGAGGACAGAAACAGCGACAGTGATAGTGAAGCTGAAGACACTGAAGGGACGAATGCGAGGATGTTGTTTCAGCACGCGAATGTGCTCATCGTTTGGAATGAGTGTCAGCAGACGTATCGTCCAGGGAGCGTATTGTGGGATGCAGTATTCAAGCTACCAATGCCTACTTCAGGAGTGGTGTTGATCATCGATCCACTGGCAATGATCTGTACTGCGTCCACGTTAGCCACGAATCGTCACCGTTGTTCAACCAACGCGACGTGATTGCAAACCAGGAGGACAGCTTCGTGGATGAAGCCGATGTTTACACTAGCCGCGTGCTTGGTCCGTTGCTGGATGGCATGGTAGTCAACGGTGCTTGGTTGGCCCCACTCGTCCGTCAGACGGCCATCAACGCTTCTATCCTTTCACGCTCTTTCCATCGCTACCAGTACGATATTGGTGCTGTTTCATCTTCCCCTGTAGGTGCCGAAGCCAATCGCAGCAAGGTGATTTTCTCATTTGTGGAAAAGTACATGCACCCGAAACTTCCTGGACCTTACCAGCAAAAGCTAATGCACCGGGATTTACTTTTGTGCAATGCTGTTTCCGCCGTCTTGATTCTGGAATGACTTGGCTCGTTCCCTGTACTTTGTTAATGAGTTATCAACAGGCAATACTGTCTTACTGACGCTCTGGATTTTATGATCGTAGCAGCCTACTTTACAGGCGAAAGGTCAACGAAGTGCTGGTATAATATGATGCCACCATCAGAAGTTTGTTTTCGTTCAGGTATTCGATCTCTTGATTTAGGAATTATGAACTGTGAAGATCGGCGTCCAGTTAGAGCACGGTGAAAGAAAAAACGTCAATGTGGTGATGCGAACGAAGGGCACGACACCTTTGTCGATTATTTCGACGGCACCTTCGATGCTTCCCGTGGTTGTAGTAACACTCTGGATCAATGCTGCAACATCCGGATTTGCATTCGGTTGCTTGGTTTTTTACTTAGGTTGAAATGTTCATCCAAAGGATCGTACAGCAAACGTGACAGCATGTTGTACAAAAGATGGTTTCTACGTCAAGATCAGCGAAAATGCAGGTAGCATGTACCAGCGATGGCTGCCACACTTCAGCAAAGCGCAGATCAACTTCTCCAGTTCATCACTGGTCCTTTGTCGGATAAGGTTTCTACCAGTGGGTATCTTTCTGCTGAGATGCTGAAGCTGCCTGTCTTGTCATGTACGTAGCCACCACACAGAGATGAACTTGTTGTCCGGTATCAAAATGCAAGAGCTGCGATTTATCCATGAAACACTGCGAGACAGCTTACGACTGGGTACATCCAAGATGCTAGTCCAACGAGGTGTATCGAGAGTACTGGCAAGCAAGGAAAAATGCTCGCACTTTATTGCGATCCGGATGCTTAACTTGAATGTACGTGTCCTTCGTGGTGCTTGAACCCGAACGTCCTTTTCGTGTAAACGGCGGTTCAACTTTCGTTCACATAAGCAGAAGCATCCATGCTCGAACGTGAAAAATCTCAAAAGTAGTAGCAATTTTTGACACGAATGTCTCCGCTCATCGCGACGTTCCGAAACACTGTCGTGAGAGCGCGCTTTCATCATGGCTGCGAACATCTCGAATACGTTCCACGTACGTACTATCGTGGCTCGTCGAAAAGAACTCGAGTACGCATTCGCTAGATGCACTCAAAACAAAAGTGGCCACATGGGTGTACAGGCGCTATCGATGGTGGTAGACATTGGTGCAAAAGAACCAGCACTTGCCCCTCCAGTCTTGTCGTCATCCAAACGTGTTTCCTTACTGCGGAAAGATGATGCTATTGCATCGCGGAGAAATACGTCTTTGGAGTTGCGGTATGACACGCACTTTGACTCTGGCTGAGCAATCAACACTGGAGCAGAGGCAGCTAATGCTTCGAACTGCGCCAAGCTGGAACAGTGATATAGGTACATCATCGGCTCAATGCCATGGTGGGCAGACGTGACGCTTTCTGAGATCAGAGCTCACCTTTCCTCGCTTCGAGATCGCCGCGCGTTATGCGATCAGCAAAAACTCCGAAATTGCCCCGATGCTCCTCAAGGAAACGATCAAGGCAAACATCACGACCATCTGCACAAGCTACAAGTACGAGAGAACGAAGGGAACAGCAACGTGCCATAGATATCATGTGCATGAGCTCCACCATCAATCCATTCATTGCACTTTCAGACCTCGAAGTGACTCAAAAATCTGCTTCCGACTGCTCCACTGTTCAATCGTTTACGATCGCGTCTTCTTGGCCGCATTGCCTTCTGCACTAGGATCGTAGTCAAATTGTGATAGGCTGAGATCATCGATACTGTATCGAGCATCCGGCTGGTCCTGAACTGTCGGAAGTTGCTCGGTTTTAAATATGGGTGGAGGATTGGTCGACGCCGTCATACGTGGCGGTGGCGGAGCGTTCGACGAAGCCCATCGCTGCGCCTGTGGACGAATCGGGTTCGAAGAAGAACTTGACGCAGTCGTTGAAGTAGAGGATCCATATCCAATGTTTGTTTTGTTGGTTGCAGTTGTCTGCAATGTTGACGATCGTGGAATGGCCGCGGGAGCAGTCGTACTTTGCTGCTTCGCGAACGGATATCCATTACTGGTAGATGGATGATGTACCGTCTGAGGTGGCTTCCACTGGTGCTGCTGCGGTTGTGGTTGTACCTGATGCGATACTGGCTGACGTGGTTCATGTTTCTGAACTACCTGCTGCTGTTGATGATGATATTGCTGCTGCTGTGCGGATGGCAAAGGTGGACCATGCTGACGAACAGGCGGCGGAGCCTGTGGCTGATGATGCCGTACAACCTGTGGCTGCTGATCCTCTCGTGGCGGCGGCTTCATTGCTTGACCATCGTGCACTGTAGACTGCCTATTTCCAGTAGACGAGCCTCCATCCGACACCGGCTGCTGCTTCTGTGGCTGTCCAGGCAGTACAACGTTTGGTGCTGCTGCCAACGGTGCCATGGGTTTGTTCGAATTCACATCCTTAATATGTTCCCTATCATAGCATGAATTACCTAGATACTCTCCAAAAAGTCTCAATGCTCTCTTCCTTGCATCCGAGATACTAGCTTTTTTCGCTTGCTCTAACGCCGCTCCTAAATCTCTCTGTCCGTCCGAAGAACCAAATCCCACATCCTCATGACTCGTGCCGTCCTTCAGCTCGATGCGAACTAACGAACTGTAGGCAATGCTCCAGCGCTCCCCCCTTTTTTTCCTTCTGCAACAACACCATAAACAAAAGAAAAAAACACAAAATGAGAAAACATACACCTCGTTGACCTTGCTTGCACTTTTTATAAAAAGCAGACAAAAGAAAGACGTGCACACATCCAACACGCACAAACTCTTCCTTGCATTCAATAATGTGACATGACCAGCCATTAAATCCAAACGCACGATTGGCTAATTCAATGGCCTTACAGCTTTCAATATACGTGAGTTTCCGTCCTCCAGGCCCGGGTCGACGGGTTAAACTGTCCTTGCCCAGTTTCTGATGCAAAAACGCGTTCACGCTCTGCTGCTCTTGGTCGGCGAATGCTACGCGGCCGAAACGCATCGAGCTGCTAATGCTGTGGGGAGAGAGCAGCGCTGCTGCTACTTGCTGAGCCACTAGCGCCGTCACCGTTTGCTGCCAGTCGCCGTCCGCGTTTCCAGGCGGCGAGTCGCTGCTTAATCGTCGCTTCATTTATTGAAAGACGCTGAACAAGAGTTTCCTCTTGGAATAATATTGCAATATCTGGTGAAATATTGTACTTGGAAATGGCATGCGTCACTTTGTTGAGCCCAAAAAAGCACTGACTATTTTATTTGACATGACTAGAAATTGTACCGCTCTATTTAAAAAGTAGCTAAATGCACTGAAAATGGGAAAGAAAAAGAGCCCAGGAAATTAAGGTCATCCAAAGGCAACATGTTTTGCCAATTCGGAGTTAGTCATGCTTGTTCTTTTGGTCTTTCTCAATGCGCAAGAATCTCTACAGCTAGCCAACATACTCTATTAATCGATAAAATCGATACCCTGGAGGGAAGCTCGATAACAGGGCGCCGGAGATAGGCCAATATACTAGACGAGCAACCACGAAGAAGTGGCCGCCCTGCCAACCCGCACCTACGGTGTGTGATAGTTGGGTGGGCTGGAGACCCTACTGGAAGAAATGCCCCATAGTGTAATGTAGGATGCGGGTCCTGTAAGGAGTTTAAACTGCGTCACAGTACTCGCACTTCACCCCAGGGTGATCTGAAGGACCGCGCAGCATAAATCTCTATCAAATGAAAAAAAGTGATGCTCATATGTAGCGAAGCACCACTTTTCGTCGATAGGAAGAGTGACAATACTGCACTACCTTGCTTATTGAGCACGATGCATGGATTCAATTACGTCACCGTGGCACAAAGTAGATAAATTAGGAAACAGTGCTCATGCATCATTTTTTTTCCTCATCGCGAGTCTACACAGTGACGACAATACAATTGTGGTAACTGTAGCGGAGCTACAGCTCTAAAATCAGAGAAAGACTTTCAGCTAAAAGCTGCTTCGTTCTACGGAAGTGGTTACTATAATGGGGTGAGTCTGTTATATATAACTCACCTTTATACTCGTTAATTCGAATATTATCTCAAAAGTTCATAATGTTCACGAATATTGCCATGAGGGGCAATAATCAGAAACCCTCACCGATTGGCTGATATGGGCCATCATATCAGTCAGCTCTAGCGTGCCAATCAACAACAGACGCACGCAATGAGTGGTGAGCAGATAGTTGATATGCACATTTGTATTCAGACATAGTTAGATGAGGATAAATAGTGATTTGTTAACAGGCATTAACTATTATAAATGCAGTTCTACTTTTTACTCAAACTAAGTACTCGCTTCTTCTTACCGTCTTCCTCTGCACATACCAGTGTACGTGAAGTTACGCGGTACCGCCTTATTCTGTCGTCAGAATAAGTAGCTTGTACTGTCATCAGTACAAGCTTCAGGGTGCCCCGTTACACCTGGTAGCACTTCGTAGTCCGTCCAAGGACCACGTTCACATCTGACATGAATATGTTAGATGATGAAGATGACCAAAGCTTTCACGCTACGCGTGACGGCTACTCCCATTTGAGCGATGTCGAATGGGATGCGGTTGAAAGGATGGGTTCAACCATGGGCATCCATGCTGTTAGCGTCATGCTAGAGGCTCTCAATAGAGATGCCCAACATGCTACTATCGCCAAGTTCATTCAAAATGAACTTGACGCTGAACGCGAGAAAGTAGCCTTGCTTCACCAACAAGGTTCTCAACAAGCAGAGTTGTGGAGAGAACAGGGTGCTCAACAGTTTGAACTGTTGAGACAGCAGCAGGCTGCTGGTGGTGGGTCGATGCACTCGCGTCGACCCGAAACCTTGAAGATTGACATCTCCGAGTATAGGGGGGTCGAAGAAGACTCCCTCTTGAGATGGTTCGTCGAATTGGATGACGCCATAAGGGCGCGTCGCATCGACGACGGGGATATGCAAGTTGCATTTGCCCAGTCAAATCTGGCAGGACGTGCCAAGACTTGGGCACTAGGGCTCAAGTTGCACGACCCATATGCGTTTTGGTCGTTGGAAGTCTTCAAGTCGCGGCTCAGACAAACGTTTGAACCGCCTAGAGCTGAGTTTAGAGCTCGAACTGAACTCTTGAAGCTCAGACAAGGTAAGCGTGATGTGCACCCTTACGCGCAACATTTACGACATCTCACGAGTTGTGTAAGTTCCAACCCGGTTGATGAACACACGTTGGTTTCGGTGTTCATACAGGGTCTTGCGGATGGTCCCGTCAAGACTCACCTGTTCCGACTTGAACTAGATTCACTAGAACAAGCCATTTCCATTGCGGAACAGGAAGAATTCAGTCTGAGACAGGCTCGCGCCAGCTCGACATCATATCGTGCAAAGAGACGATATGACAACGGAGGTCCAGAGCCGATGGAACTCTGTTATGTAGAGAGCGAGAGGGCTCGCTCTGCAGACTACAAGAAGTTGCAGAAATGCAACAGATGTCAAAAGACAGGACACTACGCTTACGAGTGTAGTGCCCCTCGTCCAGTGTCTCGCGACACTGGGCGTAATGACCGTCCATCCATGAGAAAGAGGCAGGGACGCGGGTCCGCTGTTGGTGCAAAGACGCAACAACGGGATGGACCGTCAAAAAACGGTCAGGATCAGTAGGTGCGGAGCACCCTACTGGTCCAGCAACGTCAAGAGAATTTGTAGGCCTCTTGATGAAGGTTGCTCCCAACACACAAACGTTGTGCGTTGCTGCTCTAGGTAATGAGGTCTCACTCATTACCTTGAAACTCGAAGTGACGAATAAGTTGTCCCTTCGAGCTCTAGTCGATTGTGGGGCGTCCAACAATTTTGTGCGACGCCAATCGCTAGAAGATGGTCACTTTAAATTCAGTGAATGTGACACACCTCCTACGAGGATGACGGTACGTCTTGCGACAGGCGCATCCGTAACCGTCATGAAGCGTATAGTGAAGATCCACTGTACGCTAGAAGATACCCAATATGACGATGACTTTATCGTATTGGATTCGGATGACAAATTTGATGTCATCCTTGGAATGCCGTGACTCAGAAGGTACGAACCACGGGTAAACTGGAAACATCGAATAGTAACGATGCCTGCTGCTTGTTCATCAGATGGCCATCTGATGAACGTTTTGGAGCGTCCACAAGCGTGTGGATGTACTACGAGTGAGTGCGATGGCCTCACTTGTGGTACGGTCGTTAGTACGACTGCACGAAACCTTAGTGTAGCAAACGGTTACACTTCGGAGCAAAGTTCCGGCGGCTGTGAGGAAACACAGGCTGCGCCAAAGGTCCACCACTCGAATAAGTCGAGTGGACCGGGACAAAGATGTATCCCTAGCGGGGATCATCTAGATGAGAAACAATCGATCGCGCAGGTTAAGCGAAACGATAATCCTAGATCGACTGAAGATTCTTTCGTAGAGGATCTCGCTGTGGTTGCGCAACCCCAGCTAGAGGAAGTTAAGGGAATTAGTCCCGATATTACAAATACGACGGAAATAAGTTCCCCGAAACCCGCGGGAATAAGTCCCCGGGAAGCCGAAGGAATAATTCCTTCGAGGCCTGAGGTAATTAGTCCCCAGGAAATGACAGAGACACTGAATGTCATAGTCAATGATGGATCAAGTGTAGGCGCTTATACACTTGATCTGATTGCGCCTCCGAAGTTGACTTCGGAGATCACTCAGTTGCCAACGCTCGAACATAAAAGGTTCTTGCGTGATCTGCGTAGTGGCAAAGTCAAGCAGATCTGCGTACTCGTCGCTGACGACGAGTGTGTAGCCAACATAAGGTCAGCAACAGTGTTTACTGAGAACGAGAGAGTTCTCAGTAGCTCATCGATGGACGAGAGTGTCCTAGATGAAAAGACACGAGTTGAGCGATATGACTCCCAACCGTGGGAATCGCTCAAGACAAATCCTCTCTATGAAGATTTGGTTGAATTCAAGGGTGTATTCCCTGAAACTGTTCCGTGCGAGTTACCGAAGGGTAAAGGCACTCGACACGAGGTCGAGCTTAAACCAGGCTCGAAGTACTGTGTCATGAAGCAGTGGCCACTGCCTCGTGAACAAGTACTTGCGATCGACAAGTGCTTTGCCGATCGTTTAGCTGCGGGCCATGTGAGGAAATCAACTTCCCTACATAGCTCTCCGACCTTCTGTGTGCGAAAAGCAACAGGAGGGTGGCGGATAGTGCACGCGTTCAACAAGTTGAATGCTGCAACGGTACCGGCTCAGACGCCGATACCGAGGAAGGACGTAATAATTGATGGTATGTCAAAGAGTACCATCTTTTCGTCCATGTATTTGATGTATGGCTTCAATCAAATACTTATGCGAGAACGGGATGTACCCTGTACCGCAGTTAGCACGCCTAGCGGCATGCTCTGGGAATGGCTAGTAATGCCACAAGGGCTTAGTAATGCCCCTGCCACGTTCAACAGATGTGTATCACATCTGTTGAGACCAGTACGAGCATTCGCACCGAGTTATTTCGATGACGTATTCATCCATAGTCGAGCTATGGATGGAAAGTCGGACGTTGAGGTTCACAGGTACCACGTCTGATAGGTTCTTACAATCATGCGAAAGCGTCAATTGTATGCCAACCTCAAGAAGTGTATATTTGCAGCAAGCAAAATACCACTTCTTGGGTGCATCGTTGGTAAGAACGGTGTACGTCCTGATCCCGAAAAGATCAAGGCGATCACCGACTGGCCTGTGCCGGTCGATGTCAAAGGTCTTCGAAAATTCCTTGGGCTAGCGGCGTATTTGCATAAGTATTCACGCAATTACGCCGAGATGACTGTGCACCTCTCTCGTTTGTTGAAAAAGAACGAGAGGTGGTTATGGAACGCTGAATGTCAGCGCTCCTTTGAGGGTATCAAGCAGAGCTTGATACAATCCCCACTCCTAGCAATAGCCGATCAGGACAGGCCATTTCATGTGGTCTGTGATGCCAGCGATTTCGCAATCGGCTGTGCATTAATGCAGTACGACCTTGAAGGCGTTGAACGCGTCGTCTGCTATCAGTCGCGTCAGCTGCAACCAGCTGAGCGGAACTATCCAGTGCATGACAAGGAACTCCTTGCCATGAAGTATGCACTCGCGAAGTTCAGAGTCTATCTATTAGGAGATAGACCCTTCGTTGTTTACACTGACCATGCGTCATTACGCACGGCAGTGAACAGCCCGCACCTTTCACAACGAATGGCGCGGTGGTTGTCATTCTTTGCAGAATACAACTTTACGGTCGAGTACAAACCAGGACGACTTAATGTCGTCGCTGATGCACTCTCACGTCGTCCCGACTTTGAAACAGTCGCGAAACCCAACAGTGAGACAGTCACTGTTGCGGTTATGACGTCCTCAGTCCCATCTACAACGTTGTATGATGATGTGAGGCGGGCATACGCCCAAGATGGTGAGATAGTGAAGTTGTTGTCACATCTCTCCCAACCATCCCGAGAATCGTTGAAACGATTGTCGTCTGCGTATCGATCTGCATCAGATCGATACACTACTCGTAACGGTTTACTGTATTATACAGCCGTTTCTGGTGACACACCACGTGTTGTCATTCCAGATGATACTGATCTGCGTTTGCGGATCATGTTCGAGTATCACGATGCTCCTATAGGAGGACATCGTGGCCGTGAGAAAACAAATCTCACGGTAAGTCGAGACTTTTACTGGCCCCGCCAGTATCAGTTTGTGCGAAAGTATGTTCGCGCATGCGAAGTCTGCCAACGAGTGAAGTCAAGTCCTTCACTGCGTGCACCTTTACAGCCTCTACCGGTTCCGGCTGAGTGCTGGGAATCCATCTCAATGGATTTCGTCTTCGGGTTACCCAAAGACGCACGCGGGAATACGGGTATTCTCGTATTTGTTGACAGATTCAGCAAAATGGTACACCTTGTGGCTGTACCCGAGTCAATCACGGCAAGTGGCTGTGCTTGTGTCTTTATTGACACCATCTTCCGACTTCATGGGTTGCCCCGTGAACTCGTATCAGACAGAGATCCACGATTCACTGCTGATTTCTGGCGTTCCGTGTTCAAATCACTCGGAACGCGCTTGAAGATGTCAACATCTGATCATCCAGAGTCAGATGGTCAGACGGAACGTGCCAAACGTGTCCTTGAAGAGATACTTCGAGGATACGTACACTCCTTTAAGAGTTGGAGTGAGTTTTTTGCCAATGGTAGAGTTTGCCATTAACAACTCGGTGCATGCGTCCACGACACATACACCGTTTTACGTGAATGGCTTACGCCATCCGCGTGTTCCCACCTTACTCGAGTGTAACTATGGTTTAAAGGGGGGAGACTCGCGCGAGCAAAAACCGATTCGGTTCACGCTCATCACGCTCTGACGAAGAGTTCATTGCGTTTGATGCCGATATCGATAACATCGATATCGAAGAAGATGATGCCAGTGAGAGTGCGGAAGCCCTCACTGAAGAAAAGATTGATGTTGCTTCAGTGCACTAGCATAAGCAAAAGCGAAACGCTGACAAGAATGGAAGGCCAAACACTCGTTCAAACAATAAAGGTGACTTAGTCCTACTGTCTACGGTTAATCTACCAAAGCATGTAGTGACTAACTTGGGTAGCAGTAAACTACTACCCAAGTACATCGGCCCATTTCGTGTATTGCATCGCCTAGGCAACGCATACACGATCGAACTGCCACGTAAGATGTGAACGCATCCCACGTTTACGTTGGTCGGTTTAAGCCGTACCGTCAGTACGCTGTTTCTTCCGATATAGAACGCCCTTGCGTTCAAGCACCTCACAGAGGGCCATGTGCTCCCGGTGGTGGATATTAAAAAGGGTCTGAAGAGCAGTTATCTCAGCCCGAGACCGGTCAATATACCCACGAGCTATCCTTAGCTCGTCACGCAGAGATGTCAGAGCTCTCTCGTCCTCGAGCTGAGCAAAGGAAAACTCAGCTCGATGCTTCAAGACAGTGTCCGCCAGTTGGAGACGCCTATTCCGCTCATGCTCGAGATCGTCGCGTAACCCTTGCGTTACGCGATCAAAGAAGCTCTCGGGAACACACCGGTCCACATGATCGTGTGGAGAGCGTCTTTCCTCCTCCTCCACCTCCATTAGAGGACTCTCGCGGTGGCCAGCGCTATCTAGTTGAGCAGCTGTTGAACCACCGCGACGTGAACGGACGTTGGACGAGCTATCTCGTCCGGTGGCGCGGCTATCCCCCGTCCTGGGATACTTTGGAGCCCCGTTCCCAACTGATGGTTGACGTACTGGGTCTAGTTGAGCAGTACGACGCGTCACATCCTGTGCCGCAGAAGGACCGCTGGAGAAAGTCTTCCCGGCACGGTTGTAAAGGGATTTCAGGTTGTCAATCCCTTCGTACATCTCACTAGAGATACGTACGCGCCACCACGGGCTATTAAGGAGGTAAGCCTCCTTAGGTGCGCGCGCAGAGTTGTTCACACAACAAGGGCACGAGTCTCCCCAGGAGAGACAGGGTAACCCGCTTTCCCTAGGCAGACGATGCAGCTTATAGCGTGCAAATGTCGGGGTTCGCTTTTCAAACTTTTCACGAGCTTTGATAAGTTTGTCGTTCCAAACGTCACGACCTACGTCCTCAAGGTTATGGATGTAAGAGATCCACGCTTGAAGCAGTGAGGGACCATCACGCTTGTGATTCCCACTGTACCATCGATGTTTAAAGAACGCATCAATGAAGAACTCATTCTCAGCGCGATAGTTTTTCGCACTGGGGTCAAGGTGATGGATTCTTGACGAATCAAACAACCGTGTTCGATAACGATCACTCGTCGTCGCCGACAAGTGATCCATGACGGATTTAGGAGGCATCCATGCCTTCTTCTCGGGAGCGAGACGCAAGACATTGCGGTCCCGCCCTTCTTGCGACGTGCCGACAGGAGGACTGGTACCTCGCTGCGAAGTGGTGTCAATAGGAGAACCGACACCACTGTGAGCGCCCGAGTCTTGCGACCTCGAGCGCCTTCGCTTCGGCGATAGTTCATCTGATTCATCAGATGAACCGAAGATGCTACGACGCGTAGCATCATCCATGCCACGCTTGGCAGGCGGCTTGGTTTAGATCGCCGTCGATACAGATCCATCTTCCGTATCGGGAGAGTATGAGACACCGAGCTCATACTCTGTGAAGACATGGGTGTCTTCATGACGAGCGCCTGCATCACCAGGTGACACAGGCTGGGTCGCTTCAGCAACCGATGAGACATCAGTTGCTGTGGTTTCTGCTTCGGCGTCCGCACAGAGACGTGCGGACGCTCTCTCGGCGGCCTTGCTCGCGCATCGCGTGGGCTTGTTAACCATGCGATGAAATGTTGGAAAGTGGACTCGGACCAACAAGTGCAAACCCTGTCCCAAATGATTTGGGACGAGTATCCATTTAGTCAATCAGTCACTAAAGTGACTGATGGTTAAGGGGGGGTGATGTAACGGGGTGAATCGTTACATAACAATTTATAAGAAATTGTTAGTAGAATATAACTATGAGAGTGATATTCTCAGAATATTGTCATAAGGACAAATATTCTGTAGCACTTACGAGTAGTTCCTAATTGGTTGATATAGGCCATTATATCAACCAACGAAGACGCGCCACGACAGACGCACGCAATGAGTGGTGAGCAGATAGTTGATATGCACATTTGTATTTAGACATAGTTAGATGAGGATAAATAGTGATTTGTTAACAGGCATTAACTATTATAAATGCAGTTCTACTTTTTACTCAAACTAAGTACTCGCTTCTTCTTACCGTCTTCCTCTGCACGTACGAGTGTACGTGAAGTTACGCGGTACCGCCTTATTCTGTCGTCAGAATAAGTAGCTTGTACTGTCATCAGTACAAGCTTGAGGGTGCCCCGTTACACCCACACTATCATCGGTGTTTATGCACTAGTACTGAAGCAGTAATAGTGACCAGTGTCCCGCTAAAATCACAACGACTGAAGAGTCTATCAGTGCTAAGAATACAGCGATAGACTCTAGTGTCAACAACCTAAACAATTAGGTTGACCGTAAGGAACTAAAGTCAAATTGTACATGGGATAACACGTCCTTAAAGCTTGAGCTCTTCTGCACAACGCAAAATCGAATTTGTTAGAAACTAAGGGAACGGTCATCCGCACACCAACCTTTACTATTTACCCACCCCTCACACCAGTATTCATACAGCATTATCGGTGATTGGCTTGTAAAGAAGGCAGAGGTTAGAAACCTTTGTCGGAATGATTCAGTGTTCAGGGCTAGCTCCAAGAAGTGGTGTTTGCTAAGCGAATATTCTACTTCCAGGGGTGACCCGGGGTAGACAGAGGGTGTCGACAGTTTGAACTGATGATATACTGGCTTTTGCTCCACCGTCTTGACGCCTGCATAGAGAACGGCGCATAAAAGCGCACGCTCTACCTTTTGATATTCTCTCTTCGCGAGAGCCCGTGGATTTCTGATGCACGAAGCCCAAATCTTGGTATTTTTGTGCTCATACCGAGTGATGCTGCCCTGTAGACATCTGCGCTCCCGCCTGTACAGATCTTCGTTTGGCACATCCTTGCCACGGTGTGATAAACTTTTATCCATACTATTTCAGCATCCTAAACATTATAATAAAATCTGTTGGCTAAACATTTCTTTCCTATACACAAGGGTAGACTTTAGACTTGTCAGCTAGCACTCATATTGAAAAAAATCCTGTGTACACTAATAGCAAGCTTGTTCTCCTATCCAGTACGCGACCAGTTTGTCCCAGAGCTGCAGCGCATTCGTTAAAATTCCGGAAACAGGTGATCCGTGACCTTTTAACATCGTCAGCCGGTACTTTTATGCAAGATTTTTCTTGTCTCGCCCAGCATAGTACATGTTGCATTATTCAGAAGCAGCCGGTGCCTTGTACAGACTTGATAATCCGAGAGTACATTGCTATGATCCAAACTTGCAGCGGAGCCACACGAAATGTAGCTCCAAGTACACAAACGTAAATAATCATTCACTTTTGGTCGTAATCTGCGTTGTCTGTACAGGTTGAAGATCAACATACTTTATGCATTGAGCGCAAGACGTATTATGATCCTTTCCAGCATTGATAAACGTTACGTTGGATCGAAGTTTTCTGACCCTTCATGTGGCGGTAGTACAATCGCGTGAAACTATTGCCGATAGTAATTTTGTAAGTACCGGTATGAAGAGAGGGTGTGGATAGCAAAAAGCGGGTATGTGGATAACCATTCCCATATTAAATGTAGAGAACCTGTCCTTAGTACGCAACACTAAGATACGATAAGTTGCTAAAATTGCGAACCCGCAGGGTGAAGCCAACAGTGACTGTGCGTAAAATGAATATCAATTCTTTAAATCTTCTTTTTGTGTGTTTGTAAAAAATGCTTATGTACCTAACACGCCCTACTAAATGCAATTTAGCATTTCCTAACCTCATAGATAGATATGCATTACGATGGGGGAACCTCAGGAGGGAACCTCAACCTCGCATTTTATACCAGTCATTTGGCTTCGAGAATCAAGATCTGTATGTTCACAAACCATTTCGGTTAGTTGGCGACTAGGGATGGGATGCGCATTGTCGGTGAAGCGATAAGAGTAGTTATTTGTTTTTTGTACTTTTATAACATTGTTGATGTTGTTAAGGCACAAAGGGCATAATGTCAGAAAAAGAATTTAGAGATTGATCCTGCACGGCAACACCATCGGAGCAAAGTGAGATTGACGACATATAATTGATTTATCAACGTTGATAAAAAACAACTATATATTTTATGGAGAATGGAAGGTGATCACAACTTCATACGAATCTGGTGTATCAAGTACTACAAACTCAAAAATCTATACGTATACTGTTTGGCGGGAGTGTTCGACTTTCGCTGGCAATGAGTGTCGAGCATTTTCTCGTTAGCTCTGTGTTCGCTCTAGGTAGCTTTACATCCAACCAATAGCGATCATAGTACATGCGATGATGTGATCTTTTTATGAGATTGCATTTCATCACGTAGTAATAGACATGCAATTGTAACACATACTATGGTGGATTGGGATTCGCTCATTTTATGAAGAGATTCCAACTCTCCACTGGCGCCCAGACGATCGATATACGGAGGGTTAACTCCGGTTTTGCATTAATTGTTCATCCCTCACCTTGTGCACCCGTAGGTAGGGAAGGTTGCAATCTTCTCTGTGACTTGATCCAATGCTGAATTTGACTATTGTAGATATTGGTATCGATTGGGTGTAGACTCCTAACCCGATCGCGTGCTCTGGTTGGCGCTCTCCTAGAGTAGACGCGATCGAACTTGATCGGCGTGTGCCAAAAATGTGGTATATGAGTCGTGAGCATTCTGACCGCATGATCCGTCTCGCGATCTTGTTCTTAAATCGGCAAGGTTAACAGCGTCCGATAGCAGTTGGGGTGTGTGATATTCCTTGCACCCCTAGCCAAATAGTTATAAAAGTGGCCCTTCCCCCGCTAATGGTGCGGAAGTTATATAACTTCGGGAGGCCTAAGAACTCGACCGAATGAGAACGACACGTATGATTTTCATTGCAGACAGAACTGTGTTTGATGTTAACCAACCAAAAAACTAAAACTATGACTGCGCTTACCCCTTATGTCAGGATAGACCGCCATATGTCGTCTACACGCCGATGGATTTGTAATCCTTCCAAATCGAGTGGGCCACGCCGGATTGCGGTACGAAATCTTGATCCCTGATCGCGTTCCCAGATCGTGTTCCCTTACATATATATTCACATCGATTTATATATTCTGCATCAAATAGAAAACACTGGATTGATAATCGCGGCCTTGTATCGAGGAGTCGTGTACGCGCTTGCATGCTTCCGTCATCAACTCAGCTCTTCTTATTGCCGTCTGATTGTGTCCTCTGTCCATCCATGGCGCATTATACATTTGCATAGTACGCATCCATATTATTGCTACAACATCCAACAGTCGTCCTCGCATTTATGCCGATCTGAATCGCATCAGGGTAGTTATCGCGTTCCGTTAGATAATCGTATGTCTTTCTTTCGAATTCGTCAATCTTATCACGCCTCACAACTAGCTTAGAGACGCATTCCCCCCCTCCCAATTTGGATCCTCTTAAACTATCATATACTTACGAGTATAGGGCATGCTACATTAATCTTAGTACGACTTAGTACGCTCAAAAAATTATCTTAAGGACACTACACAGGTGGGGACGGGCTACGTCACATTTCGTATGACGCGTAAAGTACACTTGGACTTTTAGCATAATCTTAACAGGAAGGGCAGGCTACTTTGCACTAATTACGACGTGTAAGTACACTTCGCTCCATTTTAATACATTTACAAGTAAAGACCGAGCTTAGGTTTTTAATTAGGTATGCACCTTACGCACAGCCACTCACATCTTTACCCTTCCGGCTCGCAAAAAAGCATCACTCTTTGATTAATTTGCTAAATACATTTGTGAATGACTTGTTGAGTATAAGCCACAAATTTAGGCTCATGCGTACTTTTGCATATAACTTGATCGGGTGTGGCAATCTTATCAGTTCAGACCTAATCATCCACTTACACTGCGCCCAAACTTGCCGAGTAACGGATGGCACTCCTATCCGTACGTGGGTTGTTGATATCTAGCTTACATTTTGTACCCGTCGCTAGCTTGAGCTTTTTGTTACGGCCTTGGTAAATGTTGATCTCGCTTAACCTTAAAGATCGAGTTTGACCACCGTGTCGAATTCTCACTGAGCAATCGGGGTTTTGTTGTGTCAATCTCACTTAAGATCGCCCCGATCTGACACAAAAACTTTTCTTGTCATAGATGCTTTATACCAATTGATATCAGCTCTTGCTTACGTGTGCGCTTGACCTCACCTATCAATCGATTCAATTTCGTCAGATCGGTGGCACCACATTTCCCCGTCAATCTGGTCCACCCAGTCCTTTCTTTTGTTTGCTGCGTCCTATAGCAGTTGTATTGTCTTGAGAGCTTGCGTGATACGGTTCAGACGATCCAGGATAGGTTTTAGCGGTGTATACCAAACAACGATCCAGGGTCAGTATTCTGTGCCTTGGGAAGCGTGTGCCTTCAGTCGTCGGGAAGCCAAAAATATCTTGCCTGGAGAAGGAGGATACTTGTCTTGTATAAACGGATTCAAAATTGAGTCTTTTATTAGCTAACCAAAAAAATTGAGAAATTAGTCACAATGCTTACCCCACCTTGCAAAATAATCGTAGGGCTGATATCAATTTATAGCCAGATCGTCCTCTTGAACACGTGTCCAATTTGGGTAGCTTGTACTATTATGATAGA